TTATAAAGGATTGCGTGGAAACCAAACTAAAAGTGAACGTACGGCCAAAAAAAATAAAATAAAAAATTTCAGATTTATAAAACAGCACGTTTCTGCGCATCTTTCTATGGCAAGCCGTTGGGGTCATAAATCGGGTGTATATTTACGTACAAATCCGAACACGCGGTGCCGTAAATAACGTGCGAACGCGCGGTGGCGTTAAATAACGTGCGGTGGCGTTTTCTACCCTAACCCTAACCCCAACCCTAACCTTAACCCACCGTGCGTTCGCGCGTAACGCCACAGCGCATTCGCACGTTATTTACGGCACCACGCGTGGGGTCACCGCGCGTTCGCACGTTATTTACGTCACCGTGCGTTAGGATTTGCACGTAAACATACGCACTGCGCGTTAGGATTTGCACGTAAACATAAGCCCGATTTATGGCCCCAACGGCTTGCAATATCTTTCCTTTATAAATCACAGCCGCACGTCAGATTTTGCGCACGAGGTCTCGCCTCAGGTTCTACCTTCTACACGTCCACACTCAACCATAAACAGTCAATACATAAATAATACTGTTAAGAAAGCTGATGATAAAGTTGAATAAAAATCTAAGTCTGATTCTGAAGGTAAATTAAATCTCTGACAGTGATCATTACACAGTGTGACTCTAATTCCTCACTTCACCATCTGTGTCGCAGTTTCACGTCTCCGAAATGAGCGTACGCATGGGTCAGAGCTGGCACGAGGCACCGCACATTTTCACGTCAAGTTTGGATTTTATAAATCACAACCTTGGCGTACAAAGTGGCGTACGGAAGTTTCTGGGCTCAAATTGTGCGTACGCCAGTTTTATAAATCCGACCTCTGGTTCGGGTGTGTGAAAATGAACGTCGAACTGTTTACATATTTATGTGACGGCGCGTCCTCCGGTCCACACTGCCTGCAGCAGGAGGAGCGCACGCCGCGGCACATGGTGACGCAGCGAGGCGACTGTCAGTGAAGATGAAGTAGTGCTCCAGGACGTACAAAAGCTAGCTGAGTCTGGACCTCGTTTCTCCTGCGGTCATAGCACGACGCCGCCGAATGCGCGCGCACTCCACGCCCACTTCGGGCGCATTCCAAAGCGCGACTATAAAGCTCAGCCTTAAGTCTCCTTGTACAGCGGGGAGGCGATGTGGGAAAGGGTAACAGTCAGACTGTCATTCAAAAAAAAAGTAAAGCATAAATGGGATGATTGTCACCCCGCCGGAGTGCGCACAGATTAAACACGTGGAGTGCAGAAAAAATAATCTGCAAAGTGTGTAGAAAGGAATAAATACAATTTGTTTTACCACCTTAAAACAAACCAGGTTATTGCAGATATCTATTACATTAAAGTTATTGGGCCTCATGCAAGAACATGTTCGTATTCTTATCCTAAATTTCTC